CAAAAGAAACGTAGGTATTAATAAAATTTTGTAACCAGAAGTTGAAAAATAAATGTTTTTTGTGGTCTGGGCTGCTGGCAGAGATAAGGATGGAGAACAATGGACTTTGCATTAGGATATATTTTTATGAGTTTTAACCCCGAGGGGGAGAATGTTTGGGTAAAATCAGGAACACTGCTTGGAGGAGGTGACCTAAGAGTCGTAATTTTAAGGAGGCGGTATGTGATCTATGGGGAGAGAATTTTCACCAGGCCTTGGGTAGGCTGCTGAGCTCTGGCTTTCATTCAGAAAGGCAAACCTGAATGCTCTGGGCTAAAGTTCGCTGCAAAATTTTTAGAACAAAGACCCCAAATAATACGATCTTTTGAGTAAGTTGTGAAATCCCAACTGAGGGCGTTAGATTAAAAAATACACCTGACTTAGAAGTTGATCTTATAAATGGTAACCACGAAATCACCCGATCACAATATCACCTTCAGTGCTAGGGTGTCTCGCCAGTTTTTGAGGCAGAGTAAAAAGAAAAACACCATGTCTGTGTTAGAAAGAAAAAAAAAAAACCAGACCTTTTCTGGAAATGTTCTTGGATACTTGTTCAGAACATTCCAGGACACTCCCAGTATGGTCCCAGATAGACAGAGCAGAACAGAAAATACTGAGGAAGAGGCACTAGCCCAGGGGCTCCTCACATACAAGTCACCTGTCAGATTGAGGCCTCGCAGTTCTGAATTTGAAGACACTATGCTCTGCTGTCCAGCTGATTTTCCCTCCAAGCCCAGCCAGACCTGGCTCACCAGCCAGCCCAGTGCTCTCACACCAACCCTCACCTGTCATCAAAGGTGCTTGCAGGTACAGCAATCTCACTGGGTCCTGGCCCCCTAGTCTTCATGGTGATACCCCTCCTCCCCAAATGAAATTCAAGGATGCTTACCTTTACAGAGGTGAGATTTTGTTTCTTTCTTCCTTTCAAAATCGGGAAGGATGTCAAATTGCATTTCTTTGGCTCTTTAGCATCCATTTCAGTCCTGCAAGAGGGAGAACAAAAAATAAGTTAGCCGTAGGAACACAATATAAGTAATGGCCCCCACACCCAGGGATGGAAGGAGCTCAGGACAGGCTTGGAGAGAAACGTGGCAGGCCAGAAAGCAGTAGCTGAGTGTCTGATGCTCCTTTTGTTTCCCTTTTGGTGGCCGAGGAGGTCAGGCGAGGGGACCTCTTGGCATTAGTCCTCATGTGCTCAGGGCAGAGGGAGACAGAAGCCAAGGAAGGAAGATGAGCTAATCAGGTGGTTAGCAGTTTAGGACACCAAGCAAAAAGACCCATTTCCCCTAGCTCAATGCTAAGTAAGCCATTCTCCTGCCACAAACACTTTTTTTCCTAAAATATAGATGTATTAGCGGTTACTCAGTAGCTTAATGTCTATAGAAAAGGAAAGGGGGGACAACTGGTAGAAATGCTTTCCCTAGACCTCATTTGGCCATGACTGCACCTTCCTCACTGGGAGCACAGCTCTCTGAATAATTCACTCACTGCAAGATGAAAAAATAGCTCTCATAAGTGCATGGAATCGAGTAAAAGCAGCGATTTATAGAAGCAGAAGGTAGAGTCTTAGAGGCTCTCAGGCCCCTGTTACACTCCTGTCACGTTAGCAGAGCACTGCTGAGACTCTGCTGTGTGTCCCCTGGAAGGCCTTTTCCAGCCCCTAACCTTAGCATGCTCCAAAGGAATTTGGAATACACCAAATAGAGACAGAACAGGGACCATGCAAGTGTTACCTGCAAATCACTCCACTGACAGGTTCTTACAGACACTATCATAAATGGTGACACCATCACAATTTTGAAATTATTTAAAGGATTGAAGATGTCACACCAACATTTATTGCAGTATAATGCTGAAAAATCAGAACTTACTTATCTATGTATAATGGGAAGTTAGAAAACTATGGCACACATATATGACGGAAGCTGGTGCAATCACTTAAAAAAATGAGATAGATCATTAGGGCTGCTCGTAGTATATCGAGTAAACACAGAACAATATGTATAATACGATTCCACATTTATTGAAGAGAAAGCAAGATGTTTGCATGTCTTTATACAGGCATATTGAAGGATCTAGAAAAAATAACTGTAAAAAAATAATTACCTCTGAAGAGCGGGGCTGGCAGAGGTGAGTGGGAACATTCATTTTAAAACACATACAAAAAAATGAAAAAATTCTGTGCAAAATCAAATAAAAAGTAACAGTCATTTCTCCGCAAATGATCACAGTTTCTCTTCTTCCTTCCCGTCCTGCCTTCCTTTCTACAAACATAGGCTGAGACAATTTTACCAATAAACCAGACACGGCCTCTGTCCTCAAGGAGAGCTCCTTATCTAGGAGGGGAGAGTCTGTGCTTTATTTTATTTTACTTTTCATATTTCTTATTGGGATGAGGACATAGCTTTCCTATTGAAAACTCTTGGTACAAATTTGCCAAAGGAAGAGAAATCTAAGTTAGTTTAGGTCAATTCATCAAAAATTTTCAGATCGCCAACTGTGTACCAGATACTGTGCTAAGCATGGGGGGTTCAAAGATAAGTAAAACAGAACTCTGGCTTTCAAGGAGTTCAAAGTCTGGTGGGCAAGACAGACCTGTAAACAGTGGTGCCAGCATTACTGCACGCATAGTATTTTAGACATAACTCATCATTTATGTATCCTGAACTTCAATGCGCAGAAAGGAAATAGATCTTTTGAGATTTACCTGCTCCGATTTCCGTATTTCTATCGCAGTTGTCAGCAGCTTGATCTTTATGTCCTGGGGGGCTACCTTTGGGCAGAAATTGTGGCAGTGTGGGACTTGCAGGGACTCCCTTTTCATTTCTGTGAACAGGAGATAACGTACTTAAGTTACTCCCACTCTGCCAAAGAGAACTTTCCAGCCTCTCTGCAAGTAGCCTTGAAACTCTTCATGGTCCACGGACTCACAGACTCTGAAGAGCTGAAAGACGTTTTAGAAGCCATCTCATCCATTTTCCCACCCTGGGCAGGAATCCTCTTAAGACGATTCCTGGCAATCACTCAGTCTCTGCTTGAACATTTCTGTGACAGAGCTCACCGTTTTTCCAGGCACTTCACACACAGCTGTGAATTTCATAAGGTTGGTGCTCAGTAAATGTTGGTTGGGAGAAATGATATTGGGCAACATATTCTCCACTGACACATGTCATCCTCTGCAGAGCAACAAAGAACACATGTACCCTCTCTTCTATTCAAGAGTTCTTGAATATTCAAAACGGCAGCTGTTTGCCTCCTCAGCACCCACTCATCTCCAGGCATTCATGGTTCTATTTCAAACCCCTCCTCACAGGATAGAGCACCCAGGCATGATGGAAAGACCCTGTACTATGGTTTTCCCTCTCTGTTTTCTGGGTTTTTTAAATCACTTCTCTTAAAGTGGCTGCAGTTTTCTAGATTCTAGATTCTGTTTTAATCAATTCAGCTAAGTCAGGCAGCGAGACCTTTCCATCCCTCATCTGCTCACTGTACTTCTGTTAACGTAGCCTAGATCAGTATTGGCTCTTTTTAGCTGTCGCAACACACTCACATTGGGTTTGGGGTCAGCTAAAATCACTGATTCTCAGCACTGGGTCCTCCACAAGTTTGAGAAGCGTGCCTTCCAGCCAAGTTGCTGCTAACAATATGGAGTTGGCTAGGGCCAGGTCAGGGAAGAGTGGTTGGCACGCTGCTAGAGCTTGTGAAATTCCCTTCAGGTTCATCATACCCGCTTGGTAAGGACTAAGACAGAGAAGGGAAATAACAGACAAGTCACAGAACCAATCAGGCATAGTCCTTGTTTGCAGAATTCCCTGGAACTCCTAGATTTTATGTTACCTATCAGAAGGAGATGTTTCAATTCCTCAGGCAGGTCTGGGGATGAAGGGCGCTTACGTTTATCTTTTCATAGTTTGAACCTTCCCTTTAAATGGGCTCACACTTTTCCCAAGTCTCCATTTAGGCTGAAACAGTGAAGCTCGAATTAAGATTGGTGACTGTCAGTCACTTAACACTTCAGAGGGATCACAAGTTATTTAAGCCCTGAATTGGCTGATGGAGATTTCAAACTTAGCAAACACCACAAATTAACTACAGACATTAAAAAATCCCAAGTTTTGCATTGCTCATCTTCTCTTTAAGGAAAAAAATTTTTAATACTGGGAATTACCCCAGAGTGGCAAGTAGCACTTGAGAGGCAAGTGCTGCTCTGAGTGTGTAATCCACACATACCTAACGTGCTTTTGTGTGTAGGATGGAGCTCTGGTTGTGAGCAGAGGCGTGCAGGTGTATGGGCTGGGGCAGGGTAGGAGGCGTGGGGTGGTGGACCCACTTTTGACTACCCAGACGACAGGACATGCAGCGAAGATTTAAAAAAGGGGGTAAGAAAGTTTTGCGCCCCCAGTTGTTGGCGTCAGGGCTGGAAGCAGTTTCAGGGTAGGGCTGACGAACTCCCTAAAATCCACCTCTCTCCATCCCGCGATGCAACATCCCTTAAGTATTTTGAGGTTGGGCTGTGATGATGCACTTGTTCAGAGCAAAATCCAAAATTGTACTTTCCATCTCTCCGCACCCACACCCCGCCCCTTTCTCTCCTCTGACCCACGCCCCCTATCCCCATCCCCACTTTGCATTCTGTACACATTTCATTCTCCCCGCTTCCCCCACCTTCTTCCCCCATGCCCCAGGCGCTTCTTCCCCTCCAGGGGCCGGGCGGGTCGGACCTAGCTGGCTCACACTCGCACGGGGTCGCGAGCCCCTGCCGCCTCCCTGGTCCTTACTTTGTGCCGGTGGGGGTGGGAGGGGGCAGGAGCTGCATCTGGCCTGCGCAGACTGCCGGGCGCTGCCGGCGGCCCAGACAAGCAGCCTGCGGAGCGCACGCGGCGGACACGCCCTCCTCCCGTCGCTATAGAAACTATTTCCGCCCTATTTGTGACTCTGGAGCTCAAAGGACTTAGCTCTGGTCCAGTCCCAAGCCACCTTTCACGTCCACCTAAAGAACACACCTCTTTTCCTCCTCCTCCTCCCGGTCTCTTGCCCCAGTTCTTTAAAGTAAGGGACAAGAACTGAAGGCCATCCCGTGGCTGGAGAGATCAGAGCTGACTGAACAACCAGACTCATGAAATTACCCCTACCCACCCCCTTCAAAATGTACATGGTTATCAGAAGCACATAGCAAAGTTCTGGATATAATTTGCTCATCAGATAAACACTTTTTACGCACTCACTCTGCACCAGGTTTTAGAAGCATGAGAAGGAAAGCTACGGTGTAGTTGGATGGGGAACAGAGTCAGGTTTGCGGAGGACACAGACATTCAAATGAAGCTTTTTGAAAGATCGCGGTGAAGTTGCGTCTTCAAGGACAAACAGGAATTAGCAATGTAAAGAGGGCAAATAAGAACCCGTCTGAAGGCCCACAGCCAGGGCACCCGGACCGCGTGGGACCTGTGGTAACAGCACTCCGTTTTGTGTGGCGGGGTCAAAGTGCACATGGGCAGCATGAGACAAGGTTGAAGAGGCAGGAAGGGGCCAGCCAGACTCGAAATAGCTTCTGAACTAAACAGGGTAAGTTGATGTGTGTGGATTTTAAGCAGAAGGATGTTTATGCTCAGATTTTATTTTAGACACTCCATCTGGCAATAACCGTCTGGAGGGTAGGCCAGAGGAGGTTAAGAATCAAGGCAAGGATACCTGTTAGCAGTGGTAAGTGATGATGTTTCAGTGAGGGACAGTAAGTGAAAGGAGACAGTATTTTTGAGAAATTTAGGAAATGGGATAGCACTAGTGACTGCAGCGAGGGTGAAGGTGCCACAGGCACCTGAGTAGATGGTGGTGCCTTTTACTGATGGAAAATACTGGAGGGGGAGACGTTGATCTAGTGATGACTTGCTGCATCATTATCAATGGACCACGCAACAGGTCTTGTCAACAGCAAGGTCTGGGTTAAAGACCTTGACTTGGCAGTCACTGTCACACAGGTGACCACTGGAGCTTGAAGTCATCTAAGCTTCAAGAAAAAACAATGGGCTGGGGACAGGATGGAATCACAAGAATATGACACTGTGGTGGGAGGAATGCATGTAGGTGACACAAAAGATTAGAAAGCTGCAAAATAATGAACAGTAGGCAGGGAGGTGGAGAGAAAATTACGAAAGAATGGTGTCACATGGGCCCAGGAAATAAAATGTTTTAAGCAGGGTATGATGAACGGGGTCCCCAAGATTAGGTGGGAAAAACGTACACTGGATTTGGCAACAGGAAGGTCATGAGTGCTTTCTGCAAGGCCAGTTTTAACATATTTTATGGTGATTTTCAATAGAAACGATGAATAACACAAATCAAACATCAAGGTGGTCCAGACGATGAATCTGTGGTATCAGTACCTAATACAGAGCAGGCTCTTAATAAATGTTTATCGTTGACCTGCACTATAGGGAGCACCTCCATGTTATGCAAACATCTGGAAAATAGGTTTTAAAAAAGAGGTGAGGTGGGGCAGGTGAGGAGGCATATGGGAGTATAAATATACACACTACATAAGAAAAAATGTACACTAGAATAGACAAATGCTCACTTTAATCATAATTCTAAATTACGCATCTTCACAGTAACATAGATGTTTCCATGAACCAAGAAGAAGTAAGTATTATACATTTCTGGAATGGTTAACATGATTTGAAGCATTTTTATTAAAAAGCGATCAGCAGCTGGTTGAAATTCTAACCGTAAATATAAACTATCTATTACTATTTTCATTCACAAGGAATTCAGATCTAGGGTTCCTGACAGCTGCGTTATCTTATAGAATGAGGACCCAGTCCGTCGGCCATCCTCTACTGCACCGGCTCCGCAGAGAGTGGTGACTTCAGAAACAGCTCTCCCCATTGATATTTACAACAGAAAGGCTAACGCTTTTTGCAAAGCACTCATTTTATCATGAAATGTAGACAGTCAGAGACAGATGGATACAATTGATTCAAGGAAAAAAGCATATCAAAACTTTTCCACTTTTATTAAATGTTTTGACAATGAGGGCTTCATAAAACGTCACGAAATTCTATTTGCTATACATTAACCATCTACTTTTAAGTAGGAGACATACGCCATAGCATAGCAATCATTTTAATGTGGAAGATAATTCTGAATTCTTAACATAAAAATATTTGGCTAAAATATGAAATATCTATGAATTAAACTGACAATGTAGGTTAAATAATTTATAAGATTTTAGAAATGTCTTCTGGAAGAAATGGGAATGTTTCCTTTTGCCAGATAAACTTGGAACAGTTAAAGTTAAGGTGCCATAACTAGACAAAGCTAGAAAGGAGCATCATGTCACTAGAAAGGAACAGCATGTAACGTGCACTTCCTCCACGTCAAACTGACAACCACTTAATGACAATGACAAATACATAAGGAAAACAGAATATACTCTTCAGAAGGAAATGATATTACGAGATAATTCTTAGTAAACCAACCTCTTACTGAAGTCTTGAACAGCTTTGCGGAGAACATAATCACAAACTGGATAGAGATACAGTCAGCCATCCGTATCGGCGCAGATGAGAAGCCCGCGGATACGGAGGGCCGACTGTACTCACTGCAGTATGCCATTTTATACATAGAAGGGACTCAGCACCCACGGATTTTATATCCCTGGGGGTTCCTGGAACCAATCTCCCACAGATACCAAGGGACAACTATAATTTATATGACCTTAAAGGATCCTTCTTATTTCAATGTCCTCCTCAAATATAAACACAAAGCAAATACAAACATGCTTCTAAAACTGTGATTCTCTCAATCAAACATTTCTCCCATGCTCAGCTACTAGTGGCATTTGGATGCAAAGGTTTAACTCGAGCTAATCTGGACAAGCCAAGGCGCAGACTGTGATTTGGGGACTTGACAGACACTCCTGCCAGTGGGCTGCTGCTGTTGCTGCCACTTCTGGATACCGCTGAAATAAAACACATCACCCGAAGCTGATAATGTTAGGAATCTCTTCACAAACAGCAATTCATAAAATAGAAGAGGCAAAAAAAGTAGTTAAGCATTATTCTGCTATGCAGGTTCTATCAAGATAGATATAGATCAAAAGAATGGTAAGTCGTAAAGAGGAGAAAGAAAACAGTCTTGCCTATCTTCAAACATCCCCACAAGCCAAGGCAATAACACCAAAAGTTTAAATGTGAAAGCTGAAATAGGAAAGTTGGGCGCAAATAACATTGGTCGTAAAGGTAGAAAGAAATGCATGTAATTATAATTTCTAAAGTAGTAGAAAAATCTAATGTATTTTTAAAATCCTGCAATTTTTATAAATATTCCTTCAAAGAATCTATTTTTTCAAATATTTAACTTGAAATGCGACAAATACTGTTTTTAGTTATTTATACTAATTTCATTTATGCCACCACTCTAACATAGCAGTTACTTCCATCAAGTATTAAATTTCAAAATGTATCTACATAAATGTTCATAGTTGATCATGATTGTAGTCGTAATAAGTACAACGGTGTGTACTTTTTTCATACAAAGATTTGTAAACATTTCCATGCTTCTAGCCATCTGATTTATCATTCTTAATTGCATGTATTTGCCATATATTGATGCAATTCCTACAACAAACTTTTGGGTTATTTCCAGTTTCTCACCATTTTTCTTTAAGTGACTATTAAAAAAATCTGACCACTCATTACTTTTTTTTCTTTTGAATTCCTTTTTTAAGAATAAATTACCAAGAGTAATTCCTAGGTCAAAGGATATGTTTATTTTTATGACCCCTGTCAAGTTGTCCCATAAAGGGGTTATAAATTTCTAATAAATAATTATAGCTGCCACCCAACAACCTAGAGTATACTGGATCATACTGCTTTATTATTTCCCAGTTTGAGAGATACAAAACAGTATTTTGTTATTTTAATTTACATTTCCTTAATTACAGTGACTGCAATTCTTTCCATATTCCTTTCTAGCATCTCTCTTGAGGGCCTTGGTATGCCTATGTCATCGGCTCATTTTCCCATTGGGGTCTCGCTGGTCTTCTCATATTTGGAAAAGATAGGTAGGTACTAAGTGGCAACCTGAGTGTCACATCCAGCTCTCACATACACTGTTTGGTCCGCATAGTGTTAAAAAAAAAAAGAGTCAACTTTTAAAAACTAGGACATTTCACATTAAAATCTAGATTTCTAGCTTCTCTTGAAAAAAACCAGAGCTGGAAATACCAGGCCCAGAATCCCGAATGTAGAGAGTTAGGTGAAGCTGAGCAATAGCTGCTCCCTGCCACAGGCCCGGAGCGCTTGGGTCCAGCAATCCCCACTCACTCGAGTTCACCGCTCAGGCCCAATCACACAGTTACCGCACTCGTCCCGCACTTTCACACAAAGAGCTTTATGACACTAACTCTATCTGTCATCCCATTATTTCCTGTGATCTTTTTGATTATGCTACCCCTAAATTTCTACAGTCATTATATCATTTCTGTCGAATTTCTTTTGTTGGGGAATCACTAATTATTCCCAGAAGAAATACACTAAAGACTGTTCTTTAAATGATATGACATCATTATTTCAGTAACTAACCTTCCTCCTTTCCTCCTCCAAAAAACTTTTAAGTCCTCATTAAAGTCTTAGAATTTTTAAACCAGAACAGACTTTAAAGATTATATAGTGGCTAATATTTCAGATGATGAAATGAAGACTCAGAGAAATTAAATAATCATGTAGTCTTAGGCCTAAATCTGTCTATGAATACCTAGTTATCATTAGGGGAGTGGTCAAGAAATGTCATTGAAAAGAACTAAAGTGAACCTGAGGAGACCTGGAGTGACTTAGAAAAAGAGAGGGGACAAACGAAGACAGACATGCTCGTCGAAGGAAACTGGATAACGAGAGGCTCTGACAGAAGAATTCACACGCTGTGCTTAAGGAACAAAAGTGTAGCAGTTCCACTGGAGAAGAGGGCTCGTGTAGCTGGACGAGGGAAAGCGGAGACAGGACTGGTTAGGAAGCCACCAACAGTTTGGGTATGAAATGAACAGGGCCTGGATTAGGGTTTTAGAAATGCTGAGATGGGGGAAGGTCAAAGAATTCTTGAAGGATCAGTGAGACTTGGCTGTGGCGCAAATGAAGACAAAGAGAAGTCAAGTCTGAAGGAGCGGGAGGCTGAGCCTGCGAGGGCTCCTGTTAAACGCTGGCCTTCCTGTGCACAGGCTCTGGGGCATCAGTCAGGTGTGGAGGTCAGCAGGTCTTGAGCAAACAGACTTGTCACCAAAACTACATGCCAGGAATCTTACATGTTAGTACTCTGACAGTGTAATCCTACTACCAGGAATTTATCCTACGAAAATACTCAGGGATGTGCCCACAGATTTCTAAAATAAGGATTTTTGTGCTTATTGCAATCTTATTTATAACACTGAGAAAATAATAAACAACCCGGATGCTCAATACAAAGGAATGATAAAGGAGGAATAAATGCCGCAACCAAAAACCTTGGTTTTGAAGAATATGTGATAATATGGGGAAACGCTCATACGTAACACTTATAACTAGGAAGAAAAT